AAAAAAAAAAAAAAAAAAAAGACTTAGGGTGAAAGGAGACAAGGGGTTTGAGCCGCACAAAAGGATGCGAAAGGCGCTGACAGAAAGTCCCAGAACAGGCAGGAATGCTGCTCCCTGCGGCCCGCACCTTCATAACAGAGCTTCAGGTCACTCTGGATAGAGGCGGTGAGGGACTCATAGATCCTCCTCTTCCTTCTGAGGATGTGGTCCTCCAGGCCCCCGAGGATGGCACTTATCTAGGAAGACAGAGCAACAGAGGCCATTGGTGGCAATTCCTTCAACGGAAGCAGGTCAGGTGTGCCAGTGCCTGGCCACCATTCCCTCCTCCTATGATACCTGGCTGTTTGCCTGTCATCTCCACAACTAGGCTGAGAGCTACTCACACGCAGGAGCTTTGTTCTAAGTATCTCTATAACCCAAGCGCTTCCCCTGGTGCCTGGCACCTACAAACTACTCCATAAGTATTTCCTGAGTTGAACTCAGGCACAGGCAAGGTCCTGGAATGGTCCCTCTCTGGGGGCCAGAGGAGATACAAGCTCTTTCCCTAGCACCGCCATGTAATTTGGGCTGGCACTGGAAGAAAGTGAGTCACAGACAAGAGTCTTGAGGCCTCAAAACTAGAAATTGACCTAAAATTCAACAACAAAAAAATGACTTCTTTAAGCTTCACTGCATTGGATGCTACTTTGTAACACTGGTGAAAACGGTAGGTTAGCGAACATGTTTCCAGCTGATGCAAAGTTTCATACAACTAAAGCTTCTTTAAAGATTCTTCCTGGAAACTGAGCAAACTTTACAACCTTGGTGCGCGCTCTTGGTTGCTTCACAGTGGAGCAAAGGTCTCCTACCTCCTCCAGGCAGTCTTAGGCCCATTGCTCTCCCCATATCCCACTGTGCTCTGTATTTCACAGCACCCCCAAGAGGCCCTCCTAGACCCCAGACACTCCAGGGAATAGGCAGGAACCCACTGGCAACCTACAAAACCAGCCTGGGAAGAAAGCCACGCCCAACCTCACTGCTCTCCTTACTGTATAAGGAACTTACCTCCTGGATCAGGAAATTTTTTTTGTAGCTATCATATTTCCAGCCACTTCGTATCCCAATTTCCATCATTTTCTCCTGCAGGGAGTACTTAAAAGCATCAAGGTGAGGCATCAGAGCCAAACCAGTGGGCTTCCCCGTCCTACAGAAGAAAGTGACAAAGAAGCTTACGAGAATGGTGGCTGCTGTGAGACTGAAACAAACATGAAACTAGCTGTGTCCTTCTGTTCATTTAAGAGAAGGAGGATGAGATCCAACAATTATCAAATCCCTACAACGTGCCAGACACTGTGCTGTGCCAGGCCTTTGACATAAAAACCTATGAAGTTCGTGAGATAATGTCCATTTAACAGGCGAGAAAACTGAGATTCAGAGAGAATTGCTGACGTGTCCAAAGTCAGAGAGTTAGTAAGAGGCAGAGCCAGGCTTGGAATACTGCTTTAACTGGAGAACTCACAGTCTTTCCACGGTCAACATGTGTCCACTTGAAAGGGTGGAACTTGAACTCTTATACCTAAAAGTTGGGTAAGATCTGAGGAGGCGGAAATAAGTTATTCCCCATGGGACAACGTGGGAAGCACAGTGGTTTCAGAATATCCCAGAAATAGGAAGTGAGAGGCTGCAGAGGAGAGAGTACAAGCTTTAAATCCCAGCTCGTGGCTCACGAGTTGGGCGCCACTGGGAAAGTTCCACAATTTTCTGAACCTCAGTTTGCTCAGATGTAAAAAGACAGAAGCCACTGCTTAGAGTTACTGGGAACATCTGATGAGCTAATGCATGCCAAGTACTTAGCACTGGTGCCCGGGACATGTAGCTACTCTCTCTTTGCCACCTGCTGGGCGGGCTACAGCAGAGGGCTGCTACCAGGCTGGGGCGTAGGCAGAGGTTGGAAAGGGAAGCTGGAGGCAGATGGAAGGTCTTGAATGCATTCTAAGGAATTTGAAGTTTAGCCCACAGAATTGTAAACAAAATGGGGGTACAATCGGTGGAATGACATAAACCAAGACATGCTTAAAGAAAGGTGGGGCAAGGCCAGGCGCAGTGGTTCACACCTGTAATCCCAGCACTTTGGGAGACTGAGGCGGTCGGATCATGAGATTAGGAGTTCAAGACCATCCTGGCCAGCATGGTAAAACCCCGTTTCTACTAAAAATACAAAAATTAGCCTGGTATGGTGGCAGGCACCTGTAATCCCAGCTACTCAGGAGGCTGAGGTAGGAGAATAGCTTGACCTGGGAGGTGGAGGTTGCAGTGAGCGGAGATTGTGCCACTGTACTCCAGCCTCGGTGACAGAAGATTCCATCTCAAAAACAAAAGAATAAAAAAAGAAAGGTGGGGCAGGGATGGGGGCTCTGAGCAAGACACAAGCAAAGGCTGGAGAATGGTTCAAGCAGCCACCAGTTGGCAACCATGTGAAATGCCAGCAGGAAGGACAGGGACTGGGGATGGGCAGCTGTACTGGGGACTGGGAGATTCTATTTCTATCAATGGAGTAAAGAATTAGAGGTCAAGGAAGGAGGGAAGGAGGGATCACCAAGGAGGTATACTCCCCACACCCATGTCATGTATGTGAACAGGCAGTGTCAGAAACAGACAGTGTCTTCAGTGCATTCAGGGAACGCTCTGAGGTGGGATGTGGTAGCTCATGCCAGTAATCCCAGCACTTTGGGAGGCCAAGGGGGGATGATCACTTAAGGCCAGGATTTCAAGACTAGCCTGGTCAACATAGCAAGACCCTATCTCTACCAAAAAAAAAAAAAAAAAAATCTATCTGTTAAAAGTTAGCCAGGCAGAATGGCATATGCCTATGGTCCCAGCTACTCAGGAGGCTGAGGTGGGAGGCTTGTCTGAGCCCAGGAGTTCGAGGCTGCAGTGAGCTAGGATTGTGCCATTGCACTCCAGTCTGGGCAACAGAGCAAGACCCTGTCTCATTGTTTTAAAAAGGAAAGAAAGAAAGTTCTAAGGACCATGTATGTTTGATTAATTCCACTCTCTCCAATCAAAATAGCCTGTCCTCGGCTCAGATCCCTAAGAAAATGTATCCCCAGCTGCAAGTGTGAGATATCTGAAAAATAATGGGAATCATAATATTAGTCTGAAGGCAGCATCTCAATCTGTGTCCGGGTCATCATGGGAAATTTTTAAGTAAACCAGACCAAGGACGCTTTTGTGTTTTGCCAAAGACTAAGCTTTCCTCCTCTAGTTACAAGCTACTCTTTATACTTCCAGATACAAATTCTAAATTCTTAAAGACTCTGGCTCAACGTTCTTCTGATGTCTGTTCCTGAAGGGGCAAGACGAAAGATTCTTTACCTAAAAATGCTTGCAAAAACAGGGTCGATCTGGTCGTAGATGGGCTGAGTGAGAGCTTCGTTTAGATCAATTCTCGCCAGAGTCCTGGAGGCATAGATGCCATTTTTCAGGCAAACAGCTTTCAGGGTCTGATGAAAACCTTGGTTTCCTTTACTCCTCTAGAAAATCAACAATAAGTTAGCAGAGTTAGCAGGTATTAACTAGAAGGTCACTGGATTAGAATTGCATTTCCCAGGCCAAAGGTCATTACTAAGAATCACAGGAAAGGGTAGAGACATGCTCTTTAAACAGATGATTAAACTGAACGAGGGGGACAGTGGCCACGCCTCTAGATTGTCTGGGGGGCCCTGCCATGAGCTTCCTAAGTGCCCTGGGCTCACTCTGAGCACAATCCTTCTCAAGCAATTCTGAATGTGCTAATTTACTCATTTGTCCTTGGCCATCAGCTCATTGAGAGCAAGCACAGTGTCTCATTCATCTTTATGTCCCCATACCTGGCAACAACGTAAGTAGTATTTGAGAAATATTTGTTTTTGTTTGTTTGTTTGTTTGTTTTGAGACGGAGTTTTGCTCTCGTTGCCCAGGCTGGAGTAAAATGGCAGGATCTCGGCTCACCACAACCTCTACCTCCCAGGTTCAAGCGATCCTCCTGCCTCAACCTCCCGAACAGCTGGGATTACAGGCACTCACCCCCATGCCTGGCTAATTTTTGTATTTTTAGTAGAGACAGAGTTTCACCATGTTGTCCAGGCTGGTCTCAAACTCTTGACCTTCGGTGATCCACCCACCTCAGCCTCCCAAAGTGCTGGGTTTACAGGCATGAGCCACCAGGCCTGGCCAAGAAATATTTGTTAAATAAGCAATTATTGAATGAATGAATGAATGAATGAATGACAATGTGCTATGATCCAACAGTAAGTATATGCCTTGAATTTTCTAAGGATAGTCCTTAGATTTCATAAACTTTTTGTTGAACTTTTAATGAAATGCAATTTGATTTGTATGTCTTGGCGATATTTTTTCCCAAAGAAATAAATGCACAAATGACAGGAAAGAAAAATATAAAGCTAGAGCTATGAGAGACATTAATCAGTTTCAGCCAGATGGTAATCATTTGTAAAGTGAATAAAAATGTGTTTGCTAAAATTTTAGTAAATGGCTCTGTGATTTTTAATCAATGATATATGTTTTAAGGGAAGGGCCACATAGCATTGTACAACTGGTATAATTCTCTCTTTTTCTCTAATCTTTTTACTTAATATTACAACATGAGAATATCCCCAAATCACTGTAAGTATGCTCCAGGCTGGGCACAGTGGCTCACACTTCTAATCCCAGCACTTTGGGAGGCCGAGGCAGACAGATCATCTGATGTCAGGAGTTCAAGGCCAGCCTGGCCAACATTGAGAAATGCCATCTGTACTAAAAATACAAACATCAGCCAGGTGCGGTGGCAGACGCCTGTAATCCCAGCTACTCAGGAGGCTGTGGCAGGAGAATCGCTTGAACCTGGGAGGCGGAGATTACAGTGAGCTGAGATGGCACCACTGCACTCCAAACTGAGTGACAGAACGAAACTTCATCCCAAAAAAAAGTTCCAAAAACTGCACTAATAACCATTTAATATAGTATCATATGGAAGAAAAATAATTCATTTTACCTCTCTCTTGTTCTTAAACATTTAGGCTATTTTTACTATGTTAAATAATGGTATGATGTTAGTGTATAAATGTCTTCCCAAATTTCTGATCTCAAAGAAACATCAGCTAGGAGTCCCTTGGCCACGCTGGTAGTCACAGAGGAAGAAGTCATTAAAAGGCTGATGGGAGGGGACAGCTGATGGGGTAAAATCCTGGAGACGCCCGCAGATGTCTGCCGTTGCTTGTTCTGCTCACAGCAAACTCTGAGCGGGGTGGTTGCTGCTGCATGCCTTCGTCCTCTCAGCTCCACTTACTCCTGCACTTTGTGTGATCTGGGTTCTTCAATGATGGGATAGACACAGCTCTGTCCAAGGTCACTTCTTTACATATTGCTATGAAACAAATCACCGAACACAGCTGTGCAGTGGCTTAAAAACAAACAGTAAACGCCTGTCATCTCTCTGGGATTCTGTGGGTCAGGATTGGGATGGTCAGGCTGGCCACTCTGGCTCAGGTTTCTCCTGAGGTTTGGTCAGGTGTGGCCGGGGGCGTAGTCATCTGAGTGAGGCTTGAGGATCTGCTTCCAAGGATACCTGGTTGCACGCTGGTGCTGGCTCCTGAGTGAGGCTGGGTGAGGCTGGGTGCTGGCTCTGAGTGATGCTGGATGATCTGCTTCCAAGGATACCTGGCTGCACACTGGTGCTGGCTCCTGGGTGAGGCTGGGTGAGGCCGGGTGCTGGCTCTGAGTGATGCTGGATGATCTGCTTCCAAGGATACCTGGCTGCACGCTGGTGCTGGCTCCTGGGTGAGGCTGAGTGAGGCCGGGTCCTGGCTCTGAGTGATGCTGGAGGATCTGCTTCCAAGGATACCTGGCTGCATGCTGGTGCTGGCTGCTGGGTGAGGCTGGGTGAGGCTGGGTGAGGCTGGGTGAGGCTGGGTGCTGGCTCTGAGTGATGCTGGAGGATCTGCTTCCAAGGATACCTGGCTGCACGCTGGTGCTGGCTCCTGGCCCCAGGCGGGGGCCTTTGCTCTCCATGTGACCTCTGCACACAGTGGCTCAACTTCAGCACACAAAGGCGTCCCCCTGAGAAAGTGACCCAAGCTTCCGTGGCCCTTGATGGCCTAGCCTCAGAAGCCACATACTGTCACCTGTCTAGCATTCTTCTGCTCAGAAATCAGCCCTGATTCAATGTGGGGGAGACTCCATGAGGGCAAAAATACTGGGAGGTGAGGACCCCTGGGGCTACCTTGGTTACTGCCTAGCACAGTCACCAGTGAAACCCGCAAGGCCAAATCCAATGGCCCTGGTTGTTTTTGTTTTATTTTCCCCTTTCAGGAGCATGTGATGTTCTCCTTAACAAACTTTTTTTTTTTTTCCTAAGAGACAGGGCCTCTCTCTGACACTCAGGCTGGAGTGCAGTGGCACAATCATAGCTCACTGCAGCCTCCAACACCTGGGCTCATGAGATCCTCCTGCCTCAGCCTCCTGAGAAGCTGGGACTACAGGGGTATGCCACCAAGCCCCACTTTGTTGTTGTTGTTGTTGTTGTTAGAGATACGGTCTTGATATGCTGCCTAGCTGGTCTTGAACTCCTGGCCTCAGGCAATCCTTCTGCCTCAGCCTCCCAAAGTGCTGGGATTATAGGCATGAGCCACTGCTCTCAGCCTTAACAAACTTTATTGCTCCAGTTTTCTCATTGGAATAAAATAAATTAAGCATTATACTAAAAACAAGCATAAAGATAAGAAAATAGGCATTACACGATTTCTTTCTCCTGGCACCTCTCAGGCTTTGCCTTCTCTGACCCTCCCCTGCCCCTCTTTATTCTTTTGCTTCCTTAACGGGGCCTTTGCATGAGGCGATGTCCTGTCACTGCCTTCCCTCCACTCCTCCTCAAGCCCATTCACTGGTATATGTGCATCAATTCCATGCAAGTGGCAGCCACATCCTCCAGCCCCACCTCTCTCCAGGCTCCAGTTCCACATTTCCATCATTGCATTAGATATTCCACCTCCATAAAACCGTGAGAGCTTTGCTGAGGTTCCTAAGAAAGGTTCTCCAGTCTTCTGAATGCCAGCCTGGAAACAGCCATCCCCCTGCTCGTCTAGACAGCGATTCTCAACTGGGAGTGATTTTGTCACAACTGAAGAGTGGGGGCTGCCACCAGCACCTAGCAGGTGCAGTCCAAGAATGAAATGACCTGCAATTCACAGGACAGCCTCTCACAACAAAGCATGATCTGGTCCCAGCTGTCAATCACACTGATGTTAAAAACCCTCCTCCAGAGCTCATGGTGTTCAGATGTGAGTGCAAGAACAGCTACAGCCATTTTGCCATCATGAGAGAAGCAGCCTGAGAATGGGGCCCACAGAGGTGCTTGATTCAGTTCATCCCCCAGACCCTCTCTTCCTGTGGCTCTCAGGCACATGGGCCAATATAATTCCTCATAGCTAAGAGTGGCTTCAGTTAGGGACTCTGATTTGCAGCCAAAAGATTCCAGCCAGCCACAGCTCCCAACAGAATGTTCTCCCTTCTCTAAACATTTGGAGAACTTTCTGGCTGTCCCGCGGTCCTCACCAGCATGCTACCTTTTATTATAGTTCCCGAATGCTCTCTTAACTCTTCTGACCAGGAATGTATCTTTCTATCCCTGAAATCTAGTAAGAAAAACAGATGGCCGGGCATGGTGGCTCAGGCCTGTAATCCCAGCACTTTGGGAGTCGAGAAGGGCGGATCACGAAGTCAGGAGTTTGAGACCAGCCAGACCAACACGGTGAAACCTCATCTCTACTAAAAATACAAAAAGTAGCCGGGCGTGGTGGTGCGCATCTGTAATCACAGCTACTCAGGAGGCTGAGGCAGAAAAATCACTTGAAGCTGGGAAGTGAAGGTTGCAGTGAGCCGTGATCATGCCACTGCACTCCAGACTGGGTGACAGAATAAGACTCTGTCAGAAAAAAAAAAAAAAAAACAGTTGACTGGTCAGACATTCTCTATACACTGAGTGAATTAGTCAACTCAGCATTATCCCTTTACATGCATTCTTTCAAGTAATCTTTACAGCAATCCTATGACATAGGTACCATGGTCCTCAATTTACACAGAGGAACCTGAGGCACAGAGAGACTGAATAACTTGTCCCTGGTCACACAGCTGGCAGATGGGGAAACTGAGATCCAAATCAGAGCCCACGTGGGATATGCTGCATCTTGGCAAACACACCTTGTATTCCAAAGTCCTTGTTATGTGCAGAAATGAATGAATGAATGCAGCGAGATTTCCTTGTATGGGGATTTACAGATGTTAAACTATGTAGCTGGTTGGCAAGAACAAGTTGCTGCCCTGGTTTTCAGAGAGTTTAGGAGAAGCAGTGGGTGAGTGCAGCAGGGGTTGGGTGTCCAATTATGGAGCTAGGTAGGCCTGGGTTAGTTGTGGAGTCCATACAGGGCCATGGAAAAGGTATTTGGCCTCTCCAAGGCTGAAAAATTAAAATAATAATAAGGGCATTTGCCTCATAGAATGGTTATGAGGATCGGATAACGTGCAGTATCTGGTTCCACAGTCAGCATTTGGCTCGTATTTGCCAACTGAGTGCACGCACACATGTAATACTACACGCATGAATACTTGGCTACCCACACCCAACTGCATGGAACACACTCCAGCTGTCAGCCTCCTGTGTCCACACACGGACACTTTCCCCGGTGGCCCCAGAATCACCCCGACTCATCTCCTCCTTCAATCCTGGTTCTTTCAGCATTTATCCTTGGTCTTGTGCTAGAGGTGTCTCCTCCTTCCCGTTCATCCAGATTGCAGCACATACACCTACTCATCTAGACATTTTTTTTTTAAGATGGAGTCTCACTCTGTTGCCCAGGCTGGACTGCAATGGTGCGATCTCAGCTCACTGGAACCTCTGCCTCTCAGGTTCAAGCGATTCTCCTATCTCAGCCTCCCCATTAGCTGCGATTACAGGCGCCCACCACCACACCTGGCTAGTTTTTGTGTTTTTAATAGAGACTGGGTCTCACCATGTCGGCCAGGCTGGTCTCGAATTCCGGACCTCAGGTGATCCACCCGCCTCAGCCTCCCAAAGTGCTGGGGGTACAGGCATGAGCTACCAGACCCAGCCTCATCTGTACATTTAAATAAGCTTTTACACAAAGCACACAGATAGCAACACCCAGAAGAGGCCATGTGCTAGACAGCCGGTATCATCTATGCACATAGAAAAGCCTCCAGGAAGCTAACCACCCCATCACACTCACCTTTTCACACATTTTCCACTGCTCACATTCCACCTTTCCAAGGCCCATTAAAAACCACAACCACACACCATCCATGCACTTCTCCCAGCATGGGGGACACCAAGTCTTCTTTGCTCCATGAGCAGTGCTGTCCATCACATCTTCCCCTTATTGGATGCTACAAACTGATGTGCACCCTTGAGGTCATATGTGAAGCCCTAACCCCCAGGGTGACTGTGTTTGGAGACAAGGTTGGTAAGGAGGTAATTAAGGTTAAAGGGGTCATAAGGGTGGGGCCCTGATCTGACAGGTGTGGTGTCCCTCTGGGAAGGAAGAGAGATCCCAGGAATGTGTGTGCACAGTGAAGAGGCCACATGAGGACGCAGCAAGAAGAAGGCTGCCTGCCTTCTCCAGAAGAGGAGAGAGGCCTCAGAAGAACTCACCCTGCTGACACCTTGATCTTGGACTTCCAGCCTTCAGAACTCCAGAAAAATCAATGTCTGTGGTTGAGGCCACCCAGTCTGTGGGATTTTGTTATGGCAGCCCAAGCAAACTACAACAATGGGCCTCTTTTTTTACCCCTTAGTTTTAGATAAATACTGCCTTGCACTTACATTTTTTCCCTACAGAAACTCTATACAACTAATTAAGAAATAAAATCACAATTTGTATGCCAAAGGAGAGGTTACAAGATATTTCCTTATTGCGTAAGCTAATGAATACTGACATCAACGCTACATCCTCATTTTCAGAAGAAAACCAGGAATTAAAAAAAAAAAAATGAGTCTAGGATCTTGCCCGGGCTGCAAAGCGGGTGTCTGGTGGAGCTGGTGTTCCAGCCAAGACCCTCAGATCCCAGATTCCTATGCTATCCTTGCTGCACGTGTATCTTCCTGGGTCCTTCCAAGACACACATGAACAATTATTATGCGCAATTTTCACTTGCTCCTACCCTCCTCTAGCTCTTCATCTCTTTTGAAAGGTGGTCACTCACCACCAGGCACGCCCTGAGGATGCAGCGGTAGGAGATCCTGGCGGTTCTGACCCCTTCTCTCAGAGGCTGCTCCATGCAGGCAAAGCACTGTGCGATGGCCTTTTCCAGCAGCTCAACCTTCTCTTCTGTGAATCTCCGCAGGTCACTCACATGCAAGTGTTCATTCTAGGGACAAAGACCACAAAGGCATCAGGCCACCCACTCCCTCAGAGCACCTTCTCCTCAAGCTTGGCTTCCTTTAAGCTTGTCACCAGCGCAAGATTCAGCTTGTCACTCAGAGCTGACCTCTCTTTATTGTCCTCACATGGCCTCCCTCAGTGCACAGAACCCCCTCGGCTTTGTGGGGTTACAGAACAGAACAAATACCTGCCTGGTGTGACTTGTTTCATTTCTTAAAAATCACAGTCTCTGCTTATTCAGCAACTTATTTCAGATGTATAATCCGTCAGGCTATTTGGGGAAGTAGCTATCCACACAGAAATCCAATTGTTATTAAAACAGATTTTTACAATGACATCTGATTCAACAAACATTTCCTTTGACTCTGCACCAAGCAGTTTTTACGGATAATACTTCTCAAATTTTAACGTGCATACAAATCACTAGATCTTAAAATCCGAAATCCAAGGCCCTGGAATTCTGCATTTCTAGCTAGTCCCCAGGTAATGCTGGTCTCCCGGGCTATGGACCACACTTTGCATAGCAAAGCTACACAACCACAAAAATAAATCCATGCTTCCGTCTTCAAAGAACACAGTCTAATCAGGGAGAAAACATACATTCAAATAATACAAGGAAGTGACCACCAGAGAAAGCCTTGACCCCTAGGTGCCTGATAGGGTTTGCTGTGTGCCTACTCAGATATCATTTTGAATCGTAGCTCCTATAATTCCACATGTTGTGGGAGGGACCTGGTGGGAGATAACTGAATTATGGGGTTGGTTTCCCCCATACCATTCTCATGGTAGTGAATGCGTTTCACAAGTTCTGATGGTTTTACAAGGGGAAACCCCCTTTGCTTGGCTCTCATTTCCCTCTTGTCTGCCACCATATAAAACGTGCCTTTTGCCTTCGACCATGATTGTGAGGCCTCCCCAGCCACGAAGAACTGGGAATCCATTTAAACCTCTTTTTCTTGGTTGGGCATGGTGGCTCACCCCTGTAATCCCAGCACTTTGGGAGGCCAAGGCGGGCAGATCAAAAGGTCAGGAGCTCAAGACCAGCCTGGGCAATATGGTGAAACTCCATCTCTACTAAATATACAAAAAATAGCTGGGCATAGTGACAGTCACCTATAGTCCCAGCTACTCAGGAGGCTGAGGCAGGAGAATCACTTGAACCCAGGAGGTGGAGGTTGCAGTGAGCTGAGATTGCGCCATTGCACTCCAGCCTGGGCAACAAGAGCAAGACTCCTTCTCAAAAAACAAAAAACAAACAAACAAAAATTTCTTTTTCTCTGTAAATTACCCAGTCTTGCTTATGTCTACATAAGCAGCATGAAACTGGATGAATACAGTGGCAAACTGGGAACTCGTAGCCTTGTTCCCTGCCTGGGAGCCTCAGTGGACCCCACAGTGTCTGCAGCAGACAGGGCCACACTCCCCAGCTTGGCCCTTAAGGCACTTCATAGCCAGAACTCACCCCACCTTGCCAGCACCACCACCTGTTTGCCCGACATGTCCTGCCAAGTAGCTACCCCTGGACTTGCTGCCATTCCCCAAACATGCTGTCCATCTTGTGCCCTCTGGGCCTTGTTGATTTCATCTTTGTTACTGCAGAGACAAAGCTCAAAAGTCCTTCCCATGAAGCACCTTCCCTGAGTCCCCAGGTAGAAGTGGGGTTCTTTGTCCTGTGCTCCCACCACACTTCCCACAGTCCTGTGCCACAGCGTGTCTCCTGTCATATGACATGTCTCTCTTGTTCCCTATGTCTCCTTCCCTGGATAGGAGCTTGCCAGAGGAACAGGCTACTAGTCATTCATGCTCCTTTATTCCAGGGCACAGCACAGACAGCAAAACCCATAGACACCTGTGGATTGAATGAGTGGCCCAGAGAAACTGCTAGATAATTCAGGCTTTTAAATTCTATTCCAAATAGACAGAAATAGCTCTGAAATTGATGTGTGACCTGCTGTAGGTGATTTAACTTCTCTGGTTCTCAACTGTGTCATCTTTACAGTAAGTGAATTGGGTTGAATCATCCTGAAAACAACCCCCCACTCTGAAACACTGTGAATCTTGGAGTAAGTAAGTTTTAGAGTGTATGGAGGCTGTGTAGCATTTGGTGCACCCTGGGAATTTTCCTCATTCTCACCATTAAGAATTCTACGAGGCATATTTTTCCCCAGGGCATCCTTCAGATTCTTTTGAATTTGTGGTGTCGCCAATGATGAAAATGAAAGAAGAAAGAAGTCATGGAAAGAAAAGCTATGGGCACGATTCTCACAATGCCTCACTCTCAATAAATCTCTGTTGAATAAACAAAAGAATGGTAAGAATGGGAAGAGCTGAGAATATAAGAACAATAAGAAACAGAGAATCTGGCACTCAGTATGAATAAATGTTGACTTCATTTGACATTGAGATGTCATCATCAACTTATTATGGATTCTTAAAAATAATGAGTGCTCCTTTAAAATCACTAACTATTCAAACTCTAAATGTTGGGTTTCAGTGACCATCTTTGAAAAAAATAATCAGTCACACACAAAGTAGATTTGATTTTTCAGAATTCAAAGGAACTCACAATTCTTGCCTTCCAACTTTCTATCAAAGAGCTGAGAGTAAGACCAATATCTAAGGCCAAGGAATTTTGAGCAAAGTTGCCAGCAACTCCCTAACATAGCTATCACAGAAGTGCCAGCCAGCCCCTTGTCCTCTGTTTTCCAGTGCTTGGAGTCTGGCTGCAGAGGTGAATCTGAGCCTCTCTGAATGCTGCACTTCCATATCAGCAAAGAAAAGTATGTGGGGCGAGCACTTCCGGCCTTGATGGCAAAATGCCTTGTCCTTATGTCTGTGAAATACACCAACCACACACAGCCCCAAATCAGATTTATTTTCCATCAGCATTTCCAAAAGCAATCTTGTGCTGTGCAGACAGACAAATTTCACCCTGAAGAACTGTTTGGGGAAGTTGGAAGGTCAAACCCTTCCCCAATGATTTCAGTGGACAAAAGTCAAATAAGAAAATCTCAGATTCCAAGATTTTTGTTTTGTTTTCTTCTTGTACAACTAGACCAAAACAAGCCACAAGAAATATGATTTTAAAAGACTGAATGTTGTTCTACATGCCCCTTTTATGCAGAAGAAAGGCCCCACACCACTAAAGACTTTATACAACCAAAGGCTCTGGGTGGCACTGCTTACTCCCACATGGAAGTCAAATCCCGAGTATTTGCCTCCCTTGCCACCCTGCAGGGTCAGCCTTGGCCCACTTTCCCCATCTTCAGGACCAGCTCCCTGACCACTCACAGAGCCTTATTCATGTTCCTCTGCCCCTTCCCTGTTCCTGTATAACAAGAAGACAAACAACTGTGCACATCTGACGGGTGAAGGCAAGTGTAGAAATAAGCGAAGAGCAACCAGATGACAACAGGCAGAGGCTGTTTATTCAGAGCTCACTACAGCAAGGGATTCAGCCACCATCATTTGAATTTAGCAGATACTCAAAAGCATGTAGAGGAGTGGAAAAGCTTCACGGTGGACAAAAAAGGCTTTAGGGGTGCCCTGATTGGAGGCTATTGGCCTGGGGACACTAGAGATGGGCTGGCTAAAAGCAGAGAGGTCAATGTCATTGGTTAGTCATACCAAACACATTACCTGATTGGTAGTAAGTTGGAAGCAGGGACAGAGATTAGGGAAGTTATTCATCAAGTCCCGGCCATCTAGTGCTGATTGTTACAGTTATTCTTCAGCCTCCTGGGTTGTTATTAGAGATAGCAGTTTGACTTCCTGCAAGTCTGACTTACAGACAGAAGGCTTCCTGGGCTGTTTATTGTAGATAAGAGGTTGGTTTCTGGCAGGCTGCTACACATTGTGGGTCAGAGATTTATTTTTACACATGGTCCAGCCATTGTCTTTGTATATTCTGTCTCTCATAAGGAGACAATACAGCTGGTGACTGATGACAGGAAGAGGATTTTCTCCAACCCCCGCCCCCAAGTCTCTAATTTGGTAGTTTATCCCTCTGATTTTAGGGTTAAAAAGAAATCATCCATAAAAGAGATAAATATATCAATTGCTATGAGAAAAGTAATTGTAACTAGTTTTTCAGAATGCCTGCATTCTTGCCAGGGAAGATAAGTATCAAAACTCTACTGAAAGTCCCTCCTAGCTTCCATCCTCTCACATTATTTTACTGTGCTCCTCTGACCCTGAGATTCTGATAGCACCAGGGCACGCAGGAAATCTAGAGACAGATGGAACATTCTGGGGCTGTATACATAAACACACCTCTCCAGGAAAACCAACAAGTGTCTGCATTCCACTAGAAGCCAGCCAAATCACACCTGCCATCGCTTAAACACATTCTGCCTTGTTCAAGTCTCAGGAGGGATGGAAAATACCTACTATTTTGACATTTTCCTCTCAGTCCATCTGCCTCAGGTAAAATAGTATTT